GCTCATATACGGGGTTTTGCGTGGGCCAGGTGTGTTGGAGTCCGATTTGGCGGGCGTGCGGACTTCCCCCAAAACTCACCCGTCTTTGTTTTTAGTTTGGCGCAATCAACGTACTAATGACGTTGCGATGCCCTAGCACTCCCCCATTCCTACATTAATTACCATCATTTATAAAATATAAAATGGCGCAATAGGTATATTCCTTGTTTAACATTTGGCATTTTCGCTTCCTGTTCCTCTAGTTTGTCGACGCACAACAATGCATCCTCCCTTACCATACTTCCTTGTTTATGGGCACCTTTTGTTTCGATCAAAGAGAAACATCTTGGCCTCTTGTGTCATACTTGCTTCCTGCTTCTACAGTTTCCCGTGTGAGTCACTCGACCAGTCATGGCTTCAGATCTAACACTTGGTGTTCTGGATCTCGGAGACGCATTGGCCGCGGTGATTGGGGAAGTTCCAATGTCGTGCAGTCATATTTGCTTGTTCATTACTAAATTTCTTACAATAAAAACAATTAAAGGTGCCCGATAAATATCATCATTTTTCCTCGATCAAGAAGACTCCTCAGACTCCTCAGACTCCTCATTTGTGTGTGGGAAAATCCTGCGTTCTCTTACATCACCTAATTTATAAAGTTGCCACAAGCTCTTCCCACTCCCCTGAAAAAATATAATTTATGAGGTTTAAGATATTTGGACTCCCTACTCCAACACCAAATGCCGAGGGGCTTGCAGAAGGCAAAACATGTGCTGTAGTGGCTAGCATTACGAAAACCTGCCATCGGTAATGTGACAAACTGCACCACTAAATATCAATAAGATGCCAACAAAGATGAAACACCCCACATAGTAGTCGCTAGTCAGGGAACCACCCCACAAGAAAATAATTGTCGGCGCACCAAAAAGCAATACTTTCCAGAGGGATGCAAGAATTAGTGTGGAAACAAAGTCTACAACATGTGTTCTCCTCATGGAGTGCATCATGCCTCCAAGACAATGCCTTCAAAGGAATTCTGTGCGTGTGTTGCTTTTTCCTGTTGTTGGATCTACAACACGTGCCATCTCATTATCAAGTCTCAACAATTATCAAAGGTTTGTTGATGGTTGGACGAGCCACCGGTAGCCCACAAGAATTAATCCATCACTCCCATAACTTAAAGTTGTAGATTGCTAGGCCAACTCAACCGAGTTAAATTTCTTTACTAGTACTGTTATAGGTTGCTCGATTTTGTTTCTAACCAAACACAGCGAGGTAGATGGGTACCCGAACTAGATATACATCAAAATCGGTTTCCAATGGGAAATGTTTGTGTTTTAGAAAAGAAAACATGACAAGTATATTTTGAGGCATCAAACGTGATTAAGCTTGCTCACGGCTCTCGTCTGCATCATCATCGGACAAGTGACAATACTTAGTTCGCTAAAACATCAAAAAGTAAAGAAGAAAACAAGAACCTTGGGGAACGACAACACAAAGCTTCGATCCCTGTCCAACTCACGTACACTAAAGGGAGCCACGCAAGGCTTAGTACCTTCCACCGCTCCAAAAGCTTCTCCCATTTGCTTATCTTTGTCATCTTGTATCTTGTAGTAACCAGAAAATCATAACATTATTTCATTGAAAGGAATATTTGTAGAAAGGGTGTGTCTAAGGCACATCTAGATGTGCTCTAGTTATTGCAAATCTAAGTGATTATAATGAGAGAAAAAATGATGAACAAACGCATGGCCCATAGAGTACCATGCAATAAATCGTGTCAAACTTATAAGTTGTTTCAGTTTAGATGAATATATACTGACAAGGCAAATGTGACATTCATATATGTGACTAGAATAAAATGGTAATGTGCTCCCAGCAAGTTGCATATCTTAGCTGTCCAAGTTTTTCTTTCTACGGTAAGGAAAGAGATAGCTCGCTAAACATATATCCGAAGCTGTTTCAGGATTAGCCAGAGAGTGACCGACCGCTTAAGTAGACGTTGTTGCATCAAACTATCACGTCATTGGTGGGCTTTGCTTGTGCCTTTAGGTGACTTCGTCAATTTGAAGATGTTGTACCGGCACAGTATGCCAGAGGTGCTTATAGAAATAGGGTGTACGTGAGTGCATTTATAGAAGTGAGTGTATGCACGTGTATATTAACATCTATAATTGTACCATGCTAGAAAAAGCAATGCAGCCTAGCCATGTCATCAATTGCCACAACAACCACCAAGGCATGATGCACAATTGATCATATTTTCTTCATCTATATATTTCTTTGCAGTGTAGAAATTCACCGAGAGTAGCATGCATTTCTTGACTATTTAAAGTAAATATGTAGGGTATTGCCAAAAGATTATTTTTACTTTCTCATAAGCAAAAAATATTTTGGGGAGGGTTGTTTGGTATTCGTGAATGGTATGAGTGATCAACTCAATTTTCACTTTATAACGAAGCATATGGGTGGATTTAGTTTGATTGACTATCGAGAGGGAATATTGGGCTGAGTAGAAGATTGTGAGGACACTATGAGAATCCATTTTATTATTGCCTGGTTTGTGGTCACTGGTCAGTGATGACTATTCCAGGTCAACAAATAAGTCATCAGGGATTGACCATATACACTGTCGGTAGGTAATAACTGTACCAGATGATAGTCCAGTTTGAGAGGAGGAAGTCATCACTGACCGCCCATATATATGGCCGGTGAGTGATGACATGTCATCATTGTCGGCGATATCACTGACCAGCCTTCTACTCTGGCCCATCTATGTTGTATCATTCAGCACTGACTCGCTCTCAATTTTTCCCTGTCGGTGCGATTTTCAACAAAAGGCAGTGCTCGAGCGAGCAGCCAACCGACGCAACGGAAAGTCACATGAAAATCAGTTCAGGATTTTCGAGGACAGCCATGCGAGCGAGCAGCCAACCGACGCACTAGCTGCACATCCTTTTCGAGGACAGGATATTCTGCTGGGTCTTCAAGTTTATTTTTGGAACACAGTATAGACACAGATGTTTATATATACACGCACATACACTCACCTCTTTGACCACATGCACATACACCCTATCCCTATAAGCACCTGGATTTTGGCTGCGACTATGATTGGAACATTGCAGTTTTTTCTGGACGTTGCAGTAATCATAAAAGCAGTGTTATTGGTGCATTGGACGAAAGTGGGCACCATGTCAATTTCAGTCTCCGTCATGCTATAGAGGCTTGAATTTTTTCTTTATGATAAGCCAGATAATTGCACAAACTTCCCACATACACAGAGGATACACAAAAGCAAGCGAAGGACAGAAAAGATAATATTCTGATCCCTATACCATGGACATTCGTCAAGTTTTCATCATTATTGCTTATTGCGTGCTCTAAATGAACATTTTTTGAAATGATAATATGCAAGTACAGCCATGACTATGCACTAGTAGCTAGAATCTGCAAAACAGTAGAGCTATACCAAAGGAAACAAGCAAATCTTCTTCATTCGGTAATACACAAAAGCAAATAAACAGGATAAATATATTTCTAGTTTTCTGTTTTGTGAAACATAAAACGCAAGAAGATGCAACTACAAACACAATTGTTTTTGTCGTTTTGTTTTCTCTAAAGTCTGGGAGCAAGAGAAGCATAAAGACCCTGTAAAAAGCAATTGAAAAAGCACGGAGAACCAAAAAGAGCAGCAACAATGACATAGAATTTTTGTTGTTGTTTTGTAATTCATATGAAGCAAAAAGAAGGAAGGCAAAAAAGTAATGAAATATTCGTGTGATTTTCTTAAACTATAAGAGCAGCAAACAAACCAAAGAAATGAATAACAAGAAAATACATTCGCACTCTTACCTTACTGAAGACTTTTCTTGGAGATTTCTCAAACTTGACCTTTTTTTCCGAAAAGGGGAAAGACCCCGGCCTCTGCATCATCATGATGCACACATCTGTTCTCAAACTTGATCTTCAGGGTGAAAACTTACGATCTCAGATCTCGCATTCGGTGTTTTGTTCCGGCTACAATTGTGATTGCTCATCGTTCTCTTCCTTGAGCATTGATGTTGGACAACCTTTCTTATAGTTCTTATGTTGTCAAGAGATGAAAAGAGAAGAAAAGAAAAGAAGAAAAGATAGACGAAAAATAAAAGAAATGAATAAAAATGCAAAAAAGGAAAACAATTGCCAAGTGTTTCTTAAAAACACTCGTCAAAGTCCGTTCTCTACCGAGTGTAATACTAGGCAAAACATTGAAATGTCGATTTTGAATTTCTTTCCAAATGATTTCCCTAGCGCACACGGCCATGGGCTTGTTTTTCGGGTGCAAAGTAAAATACACTTGCCAAACTATTGGACAGTCGGCAAACAAGATGATTCCGGTAGTCGCCAACGTCCTTCATGTCCTCGTTTGGCAATGTCGTGGCTCTTCTCTGGGCAGGTCATGGTTCGCCGCCGCGGGGAGCACCACGCCCTCCCCATCTCCGACTTGGGATAAGCGTGCTTGATGGAAATTCACTGACCTGTCTTATTTAGGGTACGTAGAGTTATGCTTATCCGATGATCACGCACGGTCATGTTGCTGTAGCATGTGAACTTCCCCATGATGGACTGAAAATAAAAGTTGCCATGTTTTTATTTGAACCATGTGCTCTACAATGCATACGATTTATTCTGATAAGAGTTATCACACAAGATTTGGTTCGAACTTTGTGCATGCTTAGTTTTCTTATAATCATGGGCGATGATCGAACATGCTTCACTTTTAGTTGAACTCTAGAGTGTGCGACAAGGAAGGCTTAATAACAGGAATCTACTTTAGTGATTTTTGTAAAAGCTACTTCGACGAAGTTTTCACTTTTGGGTCGTAGTGAGCAAATAACATTCTATGCAAAAAGAAAAGATGGTCCAAACGGAGTGGAGCTTATATATATCGCAGAAACCAGCTTGCCTGCAGTGCCTCACCCGTCAACAAACCAGCGTTGTCTCACAGAACCAGTACGTTCATACTACCATCGCCGGCCATGGCTTCCTCCTGGTCGCTGCCGCTGCTTCTCGTCCTCCTGCTGGCCTCGTCGTGGTCGGCCGTCGCACGCGGACGGCCCGGCGACAACGTTTGGGAGCACACAGTCGTGTACATGCACGAGAGGCTGACGGGCCCGAACGCCACGCGGCTTATTACGGTGCAGTCCCCGCTCGGCGGCGACAACTTTGGGCAGTTCGGCGTGGTAGACAACGAGCTGCGAGACGGCCCGGACCCTCTCCGCTCGTCGCTCTGCGGCCGGTTCCAAGCCCTGTTTGCGCTGGCGGGTCTGGTGAGCCCACCGGGCATGCAGTCGGCCGTCAACTTCTTGTTCACGGCGGGGAGGTTCCGCGGGAGCACGGTGTCTGTGCTGGGCCCGATTCTGGACTTCGAGAGCACCTGCGAGCGCAGCATCGTGGGCGGCACCGGCGTGTTTCGGATGACGCGCGGGTACAGCTTCATGAGGCTTGTGCCTGAGATGAGCGTACCCGATAAGTACAGTGTTTACAGGCTCGACCTCTTCATTCAAGTCAGCTCGGACCGTCTGCCACTGCTGCCGCCGGTTGATTCCGTTGGCGCTTACGACATTTCAATCTGAAATACTAAGGTTGTGCGAGCTGCTCGGTTTAAATTCAGCTTATTATCTGTATCGCCAGAAACGTGCTGTAGTTCACGTTGCGGCCCAAGTTAATATGTATGCGATCGGAGTAAAATCAACACGATCCGCCCACACCTGGTGCATGTGGATCATGGCCAAGTTTGTTTAAGGAATAAAAATGGAATTCTATCTATTTAAAAATTTAATCCTCACTATTTTTATTATCTTAGCATGTGGCTGTACTTGCATATTATCATTTTAAAAAATGTTCATTTAGAGCACGGGATAAGCAATAATGATGAAAACTTGACGAGTGTCCGTGGTATAGGGATCAGAATATTATCTTTTCTGTCCTTCGCTTGCTTTTGTGTATCCTCTGTGTATGTGGGAAGTTTGTGCAATTATCTGGCTTATCATAAAGAAAAAAATTCAAGCCTGTATAGCATGAGGGAGACTGAAACTGACATGGTGCCCACTTTCGTCCAATGCATCAATAACACTGCTGTTATGATTACTACAACGTCCAGAAAAAACTGTAATGTTCCAATGATAGTGGCAGCCAAAATCCGGCACGGTCTCTGAGAGGTGCTTATAGGGAAAGGGTCTCTGCTCGGTTTAAATTCATCTTATTTTCTGTAGCGCCAGAAACGTGCTGTAGTTCACGTTGCGGCCCAAGTTAATATGTATGCGATCGGAGTAAAATCAACACGATCCACCCACACCTGGTGCATGGGGATCATGGCCAAGTTTGTTACTGGAATAAAAATGGAATCTTATCTATTTACAAATTAAATCCTTGCTATTTTTATTATCTTAACATGTGCATATGCATGCTATCTCATTAACGGCCCACCATAAAATGCATGCAAAACTTTTATTATTATTATTATTATTATTATTATTATTATTATTATTATTATTATTATTATTATTATTATTATTATTATTATTAGTTGTTTCACACTTTTATTTATTTATTTCATTACAAAAAAGTTTCATATCACCACATATGCCACCTCATCAACGGCCCACAGAACATATGCACGGGAAAGGAATGCCATTATATTATGCTACTTATATTCAATAAATATTGTTTTACTATTCCAAATATTCATGTTTCATATAACAAAATCTCATTGAAATATATTGCAATGATTCCTACAGCAACACACATGGTATCATCTAGTAAATTGAACGATGCTAAAATAAGTGACATAACTCTTATGTACATTATTATTGTGAGATGCTCGGACATCTTGCTAGTGAGAAACAATCTCATCCTGGAGAATTAGCAGGCTACAGGCAGTCTAGTATTCATAGGGCTAGACCTACTGTCCAGGTACATGTGAACATGGCTAGAATCAATATAAATTACTGGTCATGCTAAACTGTAAGGTCATCACCAACGCAGTCCATCATATCTTGCCATTTTTCTTAATGCCAACAAACC